TGCCCAGCGACCCCACCCAGCCCGAACCCTGACCCTGCCCAGTCCCCCAAACCCTGACCCCGCCCAGCGACCCCGGCCGAATCCTGACTCCGCCCAGCGACCCCGGTGCTGCCCAAACCCTGACCCTGTCCCAATCCTGACCCCGCCCAGCCCGAACCCTGAGCCTGCCCGAACCCTGACCCCGCCCAGCGACCCCGCCCAACCTGAACCCTGACCCCACCCACACATTGACCCCACCACCCCAAATCCTGACCCTGCCCAGCGACCCCACCCAGCCTGAACCCTGATCCCACCCACACATTGACCCCACCACCCCAAATCCTGACCCTGCCCAGCAACCCCACCCAGCCTAAACCCTGACCCTGCCCAGCCCAAACCCTTACCCTGCCCACTCACTGACCCCGCCCACCCCCTACCCTGATCCCACCCAGCCCAAACCCTGACCCCACCCAGTGACCCCACTCAGGAACCCCACCCACCCACTGACCCTGCCCAGCCTGTACCCTAACCCAGTCCTGCCCACCCACTGACTGCACCCAGCAACCCCACCCTGCCTGCCCCCTCACCCCATCCAGCCCACCCCCTGACTCCCAGTGACCTGGCCCAGCAACCTCACCCAGTCAGCCCCTGCCCCTGCCCATAAACCCCGGCCCATCTCCTGGCCCCACCCAGTTACCTCACCCCACCTCACCTCAGCCCCTGGCCCCACCCAGACCTCTGCCCCCAGCCAGCCCACTAGCCCCACCTGCTAACCTCACTCTACCTTCGTGGGGCCCCCTGGCTCTTCCCATATGGGGACCGTACCCGCCCCACCCCAGCACAGCACCCCCAGCACCCCCTCTCAGCCCACTCCTGCCCCTTACCAGTGAGGCCGTGCGGATGGTGGCGAAATGGTCCCGGTTGCGGCAGTACGCACGGCGCCGGGCAGCCGACGAGGAGCTCTGGGGCTCCATCTCCGGCTGGTACGGGTCGTCGTACAGGTTATCGTGGCCCTGGGGGGCGATGGAGAGAGAGGGGATGGGACCCAGGAGTGCTGACTCTCGCCCCGCCCCTCCCCCGCTCTAACCACCAGACTCACAAAGTGGGAATGTTCTTAACGTTTTCTCTGAATAATGTGTGTGCCTCAGTTTCCCCTCGGTGTTACTCAAGTGTCTAGGTGGGGGGGATGAGGGTGTGTTGCAGAGCCCCCTGGAGGTCTGAGACTGCAGGACGTTCCCCCCTCCCAGCGCCGGGGCTGGGACTCCGGGACGCCCCGCTCCCCTCCCCGCCTCCCGCCCCCAGCGCCGGGGCTAGACCCCAGTCCAGACTCCCCGCGCGGTACCGGCAGGCGGTGGATGACGGAGCTGTTGGAAGTGACCGTGTGCTCCCCCTCCTGCATCATGGCGATCTCGGCTCCCTCGTCCTCGTCGGAGGCGTCCGCCAGACTGTTGACGCTGCTGCTCTGACTACTGGCGCTGATGGACATGCTGGGCACCGAGTGGCTGCTCTCCATGCTGTTAACGGTGCCCGTCCGGTGCCCGAACTGCTCCACCTCCTGGGGGAGGGACCAGAGACAATGCAGCCCCCGCTGGGGTGGGGTGGCTGGGTACACGGGGACCCCTCGCCTGATGCTGGGACACGGACCCTCTGGGGTGGGGGGGGCTGGGCACACGTGGACCCCTCACCCGGTGCTGGGACACAGCCCCTCAGGGGTGGTTATTTGGGGACCCCCGGCCCAGTGCGATGGGCCCTCGGGGGGACAGAGCGGGGCACACGGGGACCCCTGGGCTCTCACCTCCTCCTCGTCGGGCGCCTCGGCGTTGGGGCCGTTCTGCGCCTCCTGGAAGAGGATTTTCTTCATCTTGCGGTACTGCAGGTTGTCCAGCTCCCGCACGGCGTCCTTGGTGCGCTGGATCAGGTCCATGATCACCGTCTGGGGCCGCTCCCGCAGGAGGAACCGGTGCTGCTGGGGCACGGGGCGGGGTCAGTGAGGGACGCTGCCCCAGGGACCCCAAGGACCCC